CCCCCCCCCGGGGTCCCAGGAGCCAGCCCAGCCCTCGGGCACCAAACCCAGGTCGCATCGCAGGGATGTTCTGCCCCAGCCCAGCCCTCCCGAAGAGCTGACCCCATCCCGGGCAGGGGGGCAGGCAGGGGGGCTACGCACGCAGCGAGGCGCAAGGCGCTGGACCCTTTGCTAATAATCCATTAGCTGCACGTTGTGATTTTAATTTCCAGGGAAGTTGTGCCGAGCGCGCACAAAGCGAGGGGTAACGAATTGCCTGGAAGTCCCCGCCACGCTGCCAGCACCCGGCACCTCCTCGATGGCTGCAGGATGAGGCCACCCCACTGTCCCCAGCCCCAGAGCAGACTGGGGGCACCAAACACCCCCCCAAAAAGCCACTTCTGAGGGTCTGGTGCTGGCTGAGCCCGTGTCACACACCCCTGGGCTGGCCCTGGCTGCCACCGCCGAGCCTGCGCTGAGGCCACGAGCTGCGTTTGCCACCACAAACTACTTTGGCAACCTGCAGCAGGCGTGTTGCAGGGATTCACCGCGTTAAGGCTTCCCTTTTTCGCTCACCATTTAACCTTGATCCATTATTCATTTCCCTCCTCGTCCTTTCCCCCCCCCTTCCTTCTCAAGCTCCTGGTAAGCAAATCATAGAGGGTTTTTCCTCTTCTCTTAATTATTTATCAGCCCAACGTATTAGCTTTATATCAACCGATTCTGTTGTTAACGCAGGACAGGACTCCAGCGTGTGCTACAGACAACTCCTCTGCTCAAGGTCATACAAGGGGGTTTGCTACGAGCCAGGCAGGGACACCACGCTCTGAGCAAATGCCACAGGGACATTCTTACCCCCACCAAAGCTTGATCCCCCCCTTCCTCCTTCAAAAACCAACCGGTCCAAGGTCCCTTCTCCAGTGGATCCATCACCAAGAGTGACCTCGGCCAGGGGACCATCACCCCCGTACCCAGCAGACAGCAGCAGAATTTGAACAAGTGCTGAAGCTCCCGGTCCCTCCCCGCCTCGCTCAGCCGGGTCCCCACGTCCCCACGGGGGAGCTCATGGTGGCACATGGGCCACGTGCAAAACGCCTCGAGATCCCCCAGGGAAAGCGGCACAGGGGAGATGTCAGAGGGGACACCCCGGCCCTTCTGCTGGAGAGGAGAAGGCAGCACAGTGTGGGGCTGAGAGCATCGTCCCGGGGCGGCACCGGCCGAGGAGCCTCTGCTAAACTCCAGCACCGATGGGAAACGCAGACGGAGCAGTTTCTCCCAGGAGTCGCCTTCCCACCCCTCCTTTCATGTAGCAGCCCCCCCCATAACGCACGCCTCTCGCCGAGGGTTTGCTGCTCCCAGGCAGGAAACTCTGTCCTGCCCTCAGCTGGTCACTCCAGCTCTTGATTTATGATGGCAAAGCAGCTGGGATGTACTGGGAGGCCACATCCAGCCCAGCCCCAGCACTGGGCGCCCAGTGGCAGTGCCTGGGTGCACCCTTGGAGCTCTCGGAGGAGAGGGGGAGTGGGACCCCGGGCATCGGGGCAGGGTGCCCAGCGTGGCCTGTACCCACGGTGCTGGATCCCAAGTGCCACTGGGACTCCTGGCCTCGTTGCATCCCCCATGGGAACGACAAACACAGCAAGGCTGCGAAAGGGGTGACGGGGCACCCCGAAAGCCCCCAGCCACAGTAGTGACAGGGTTGGGAGGAAGGAGCCGCAGCTCCTCTTCCTCACTGGGGAGAGCAGCAGCGAGGAGGCCTCGAGCGGGGGGACGGTGCAGTGACGGGGTCTTGAGGGGGTGCAAGAGGGGCTGGTTCCCTGCAGCTCCTCACCCAGAGCCTCCACCAGCCCTGGGGTGAGGCCACGTTCCCGGCTGCTTCCCACCCTCCTCCTCCTCCTGCTCCTCTCACCGCCAAACCACGCATCAGCATGCAGCTCCCCACTCCCTAATGACATGCTCCGAGAGTGGAACGCGCCAGCTCGCTGTCTCTCCACCGACTACTAAAAAGGATGATTTGAAAAGCCCTGCACAGGGGTCAGAGCAAAGCTGGATGCCACCGGGGGCAATTCCACCCCCGGCTGCGCTGCATCTGCTCTCCCGCATCCCTCGTCGGGCTCCAGAGCAAACGGGGGGGGGGGGGGGGGGGAAGGGAGGCAGCCCCAGCACCATCCCCAAACCCCACCAAGGCGAGAGGAGGAAAAGCCACCATAGACACGCGTGTAGCTGTCTCCGTGTCAACCACCTTCCCCTCCAACTCCCAGCCTGGAGCGGGCAGAGACGGTTTGATAAGGGAACAACCAACGACTGGGGTACGGGGGGGTCCATCAGAAAGGGACGTGAAACCGCCGATGCCGTTCCGTGCTCCCCCAGCACTATGCATGGAAAGAGGGGGTTAATCCTTCCCTCCTGGCTTCACCCCAAGGGTATAATTACATCCTGCCACCCAAAATCCCCCCACCAAGTTGGTTTTCTCTTCCTCCCGCGCAGGGATCGTGCCCGGATGCCGGAGCAGCGGTGCCCACAGAGGGGCTGCCCCGCTGCCAGCCGCGGATCCCTGAAAAATGCTTCCCAGGGCCGCTTCCAAGTAGGTCACTGGGGTGGGAGAGCTGGTGGTCGGAGCCTTCCCAGGGTCCCCATCTCGGCGCTGCCCCAGCCCAGCCAAACAGGGTGACCCTCCACCACGCATCCCCCCACACTGCCACCATCCCATCGCTTACCCACGGGCGCAGGACAGATTCCACAGCGGCCAACAAACTGCTCCGGTGGGACGGGGGAGGCAACCCCCGAGTCTCCAGCGGCTGAAGGCGGCTCCTTGGCCCGACGCAGGGCTCCCACGACAGCCAAAATCCCACGGTAAATCCTGGCAAGCCCCTCTCCGAGCAGCGGGGCGTTAAGGGAGCGCGGTTCTCTTTGCCGATTCATCCATCCATCTGCCTTACCTGCCCGTAGAGGTGTCACCCGCGCCGGCGGCGCCACGGCCCAGCCTCCTACCAGGATGCGGCCATCGCCTCCTTCCTGGGAGAGCCTCAGCACCACCAGAGCCCGACGGTGCTCCGGGGGATGCTCCTCAGGATCAGCGCCTTGCAGCCCGAGTAGCGGCTCTCCACCAGCTCACCGAGAGCCAGGGGTGGGAGAGGCCCCCAAAAACCTGCCCCCTGCTGCAGGCGCTGCCCCGCGAGAGCCACGTTGGGTCAGAGTGGCCGCAGGGTCGGCAGCGGGGTCCGCTCGGATCCCCCCACCAGCAGCTTGGCAGGGCTTTATCATAAAAAGGATCTTTCAAACACAGTTTATTACTGCAGTTTCATAAATCTTCATGAGGCAGCAAGGCTCACGCGGGCCGTGAAAGCAATGGCAGTTAGCGGAGCATGAAAAATAGTCCAAGAAAGCAATTGTACAAAAAGGGGCGAGGGGAGGGGAAGGAGAGAGTACATCTGGGGAGAACGGGAGGCGAAAGAATAGAAGCCCCTCGGAGCGATGCAGCTCCCCCGCACCCGGCCATTAAGGCAGCGGGAAGAGCGGGATGCTCTCCTCTTCCTCCCGAAGGCTGCAGCTGCCGCACTGCCAGCCCTCTGCCTGCACAGCACCCAAGGAGGCTGCCCAGCACCCAGAGCCCTGCTCGGCACTAACCCCTTCGCTGCCACGTTGCTGCCAGGCCCCGGGGGGAACAGTGGGAGCGCTGGGCTGAGCGTTGGCAGAGCTTGCACGGCTCAGGCTGCGCTTAACTCCTGTTGTGCTGCGCAGGCGATCTCGGCGGGGACCCCAAAAATACCCACCCCTGAGCCAGGAGCTGCTGAGGTAAAGGGACCTTCAGAGGCATTGCAGCCCGGGGGGTCCCTGTCCCTGGCTCAGCCATGGTCTATTTGCTCTCATTTTGGGATGGGGACGTGGTGAAATGCCCTCCAGGACCTGCCTCAGGGTCCCACCTCAGCCCCACGACAGCAAACACGGCCAAAAAGTGCCGGGAGCGCTCAGGAAGCCGTGCCCAGGGGCAGTGACATGCCGAGGGGGGGACACAGCACCCTCCACCCGCACCACTGCCAGAGGCTGAATGGGTCCCACCATCCCAGCGCTTCAGGCAGCCAGATCTGTCCGTTTAAAGTCCAACTGCAGAGAAATGCAGCCCTGCCCAGCCGGGGGCTGCAGATGTCCCCATCTCATGGGAGCTGGGCAGACCTGGGCTCCATCCCAGCATCTTCACGCCCTCCCCGTGCCTCGCAGAGCACCGGGCGAGCGAGACAGGGAGGGAAAGCTGCTCCTGGGCTGATGGACACCTGGCACCAAACCGCCAAGGCCGCCCACGAGCGACCATTAACATCCACGCCAGGACAAACGTCCCCCCAGGATGGCGGGGATGCCGCTCCCCCACCTCCTCTCCCCATCCCCAAGGGTCCCTCCCTGCAGCGCCGAGCTGCAGCTTAGCCCTGGCTGGGCAGCAGGCTCCCTGCCATGCCTTTCACTCCCAAATTCAAGTGGAACCAGGGAAAATAAAACACCACCCGCCGACCATTTCATCGGGAACTTCCCAGCCGGCTCAGTGCGGACCCCACGGCCAGGACACCGCTTGGCTCCTCGAAGGCGGGCAGGGCACGGTGCCCGCGCGCGGTGGCGGTCCGGATGAGACCCTGCAGACCTGGCCCTGCCTGTCCCCGGCCTCTACGTGCCCTGGATGCTGCCTGCACCCCACTAGTGCCAGCCCTGCCAATGCCACCGAGCTGTGCGAGGACGAGGAGCCGGACCGCCGCCGCGCGACGTGCCAGTGCGCACTGGTTGCTCCCCGGCCGGAGCTCGGGGCGGTCCAGCTGGCATCTTTCCGCCACGCTGCCCACCCTGACAAGCAGCTCCTTCACTTTGGAAGCAGAGAAACAACCAGATGAATTCCCGTGTCATTGTCAAAACCCAAACTGAAGGAGAAATCCCATCTGGCCGGCCCTGTAAATAGCGGCAGCTACTTCCCACCTCGCCGGGTGTTATCACACCCACTCGTGGGCACGGAAACGGGAGACGAGTTCACCTCCCAACGCCCAGGGACGGCTCGGCCACGCGCGGGGCCAGCGCGCCCTGCTGCTCACTTTGTGTGCGGGATCCGGAACACCACCCAGAGCCCCATCCCTGCATCCCCCTTTGAGATGGGGCACACGAGCCAGGCTGGCCCCCGTGCTGTCACCCAGGGAAGGGTGACCCGACACCCTGAGTTGCTCCTCCTGCCTCGCTCGTGGCTTGCTTTTCCAGGCAGGGCTCCCTGCCACCACGCTGCCTATCCCCTGCCTGCTTGCTGCAGCTAAAAAGCGTGAACCGGCCCTTGTCCTTCCTCCTCCTCGCGGTGTCTCCTCGGCTCAGCATCTCCCTGGCATCTCCTGCCAGCTCCAAGCTGGGAGCCATCCTACCCCCTTGCCCAAGGGCTTCCTCGCAGGGACTGGAGGGGATGGCACTGACAGCCCCGTCCCTTCTCTCTCGCACGGTGGCTGCCCGTGCAGGTCGGGAGGCGGCTGCAATGCTAAAAAACAAGAGCCCGGTGGGGTGGGCTCTGCTGACCAGGCAACCGGGGGGTCTGTAAGTGAATAAACCTTGTGTGGTTCATCATACGGCGGCTAAGTGGCTCTGCTTTCACCTTGCAGCACCCAGCGCAGCAGCTGATAGAGCTACAAAGACCAGGGGGAGCTCCAGGGCTTCCCACCAGCATAGACCCCCCCCTCCTCTGGTGACAGGGGCCAGCTGGGTCGCTCCAGATGCCCCTGGCAGCACAGATGTGACCTGAGCTGTGCCACGGGCCCAGTAATAGAACACAGTAGCATCAGGGGATGCTCTGGAGGAGGTCGGTGGGTGGGAATGTCCCCAACGCCCTGCGGGAAGGGCAGTACCCAAGTGAGGGTTTCTCCCCCCAAGACACCCCAGCGCTGGGAAGCATCACCCCCCTCTGCAGAGGGAGACAGAAAGCTGCCCTGGCTTAGGCAAGGGCAAACAAGATGGGCAAGCTCAAGGAGCTCAAGGTAGCACAGGAAGGATGGCTTTCAGCTGGGAGAGCCAGGGCAAACCTTTCACCCATCATCATCTTCCTCCCTGATCTTTGGCAGGAGGCCGAAGCCGGCGGCATCCTCTGCGCATAAAGAACATCCCTGCCCGGGTCCCTGCCGGGGAGCGGAGGAGAAAGGAGCCCCGCGTGCCCTGGCAAGAGGCCGCATCCTCAGCTGGCAGGGATGGCACAGCGGCTGGGGAGATGCCAGCAGCTCGGGAACGCCAGATAAAAATAAAGGAGAGGAGAGGATGGAAGGGACCAGGCTCTTCACAGCATAAACACAAGCCACATTGTGGTCTCGTCTCTCACCCACGCAGCAGCAGCCGTTCGAGGCGGCGCAGCCAGCGGCCTGGCAACTGGGACAGGATTAATGCGGGTGGTGCCAGCCGGGTCCAAGCCTGGGGATCCCCCTTGGCCCCAGACGGGCGAGGGAAACTGAGGCACGGGGCTGGGGGTGATACGCGCCGAGAGCACGAGTCCGGCTGCAGATGGGGATACCGAGACGCGAGGGGCTTGAACCCAGCGGCGGAGCAGGGGGAAAGCACCGGCAGAGCCACGCGCCACCTCTGTGCCCTGACTGGATCAGTATTTAGGATCTCCCAAAAGGACCCGGAGTTTTCCTGGCAGCACCTGCTGACTCCCACCCCCACGCCCAGACGGGCGAGCACAGCATCTGCCTCGGTGCGGGGTGTGCGTGGACGCGGGGCCGTGAC